TATTACTATACATACACATACACACACACACATATATATATATATATATATATATATATACTAGGTACTATACACGTACGAACAAGGAAGAACAGACTAGAAAGTACTGGAGAAGATAATGGCACCATTGTCTGAGCAGTTGCCATTGGGTGTGTGCTGGCAAATAGCGATGGCTCGGATGAAAAATGAATCGATTGAGTTTGGCGCTGAAGTTAAGTGTTGATGAGTAGAGAAATAGGATTGCCAAAAATATAAAAGTTGGGGTTCACCTCCTGAAGATGGTTTTTGATATTATCAATATTTCGGGAGGTATTTTTATCAAGTTGTGGGCAAAATAGAGTTTGATTCAATTTTATGAAGCACCTTGTAATGACACGAAATGTGGCTGTAGAATTCGAAATAAAATCTGGAACAAATGAACCCAAATCGAATCACTTCGACTACGCAAAGACCACCGTTCCATTTTTTTCACCATGTCAGAGCATACTGAAAGTTTTATGTTCCGATTTTGGGGGTTGCATGGTATCAGGAGGTGCAGTTTATAGCTTCCAGTACTAAATGACCCACACAACGATGTACCGAGTATCACAGTGTCACATTTATCACAATTTTACTAACACTCACCACCCGTACATCACACATCACTCACAACAGAGTCGGGGTATAGTGGTACTGGCAGCCGCTACAAGAGTTTCATTACTCCAATAACACCAGACAATCCTTAACAGGCGAGTAGGTAACGTAAATATGCATATACACTATCTGCATTGTTGGTTACAGCTACAGGAACAGTACTTGCCTGGGCGAAACCGGATGAGCGAGACTTTAGGGTATATTTCATCACACTCGATACACCTACTTAATACTATTTGGGACCAACCATACATAGCAGGGTCCTGATCCCTCAGACACAGGACGTTGTTCGATACAATTGGTGTGCTTTCTATCTGCATAGTCGTACCTGGTCATGGAATCGGCCAAAGACCATATTCAGGAAGAAAACCGCGGCAAAACTGACCAGGGATCCTATGATTGCCAAAGATGAAGTAGGTATCTCCGGGTTCTGACCCTTGGGCAGTACATCTAGTGTGCGCAGGAGAATAAACAGTATGCACGTGGCCAGGAAGAACCAGAACCATGGATCAACCAGCACATGTTCCCACAGAGTGCCTTTGTAACGCAGCATGGCCCTGGACATTGGGTGCGGAAATGAAATGAATCAATTGGAAACCCCAGATAAACGAGCGTACAGATGAAATGTGCGATGTTGGTCACTGACTTGTATGGTAGTAAGGTTGGCGCACAGTCTGGAAGTTATCTTCAATGAGAAATAATTTTTTTATGTTTCGATGCAATCCTTCATGTACGTAAAGTATATGCTTAGACATATTAGAAAAACCACCGGAGTACAGTGAACCATTTTAAGTTTAGAGACACCCACCCAACAACTAGACACATAAAGATATACATATATATATATAAACGCATAAACACCAACCTACCCACATACACGCTTATATAAACACGCACATAAACACATACACGTAGAAACACGTGCGAAATAATACATAT